ACAACAACAGCAACAACAACAAATTGTCGCCCAATGAAATTGTAGTCGACTTTTGGGCGCCGCTGCACTAATTACCGCTGACGTGCGCATCATGCCTGTGTCCCCGCGCTTCCCAATCCACTCCTGTCCGCCGCCTGTCAACTCAAGTTTGACACTTTTTTCGCACAATTTATGAGGCTGGGTAAAAAGCCCACGCCTACAATTTAGAGGGCTGCACAGTGGTGTTTATTTAAAGAAAATGCAAGTTTAGCAAGAGTTTTATGAGAAATATATGGGGATATAGCTCAGTGGTAGAGCATTCGACTGCAGATCGAGAGGTCCCCGGTTCAAACCCGGGTGTCCCCTGTATCCATGTTCTCTTTTAGCAGAATAAAAATTTAGAAGAGCAAAACAATTTTTGTTTTTAATTTTCAGATTTGTTTTTAATGGTCGCTTAAATAAAGAGAACATTCGAAATGAGATATTAAATTTAAGACTATTAATAGTTCTAGAGAATGTATTTATAACATTAATAAAATTTTATGGAAATGCTATTTAATAATTTTTAAAATGTTGCCAATGTTTATGTAAAATGTGAGCTAAAGTAAATGTCAAGCCCACTGTGCCTTGCTAGATAGAATGACACTTGAGCCGCCGCTTGGGCTGGCACTTAGTTTGGAGTTTTATGAGCGCAATTCGATTATTCTTCATTTATGTCAATCAATGTGATTTCTGTTGGCTGCTTTTCGGCGCAGGATGCGCACCCTTAATCGCTTTGTTTAAATAGTAAAACGGAAGCATACGCACACACACACACACACACATAGAGATATTCTGCCGAAAATTTCTGGAAATTTAATATCATAGCTGAATATTGTTGGCTTGTTGTTGTAGACGCCACATAGTCTCTGAATGTTGTCGACTGTCTGCCCGACTGTCTGGGCGGCTCTCACTTCCTGTTGGCTTCGCCTTGTTATGTATCCTTTTGCGTATTGGATGGAAAAAAAAACCTTGTGAAAATCCTTTGCGGCTATGACTGCTGTTTTGTTGATTTTCATTTCATTTCCCAGTTTTTCCTTGCTTGTTGCTATTCTCGTTGTTGTTGTTGTTGTTGTTGCTATTTACATCCGCAACTTTATTATAGCTTTTGGCTGAGTTGCAACTGTTTGTCTGTTTGCTTTACGCTTATGAGGGTTAGGCCCATGCGTCGTATTAGCAACTTCGCCAGGGCAGCTGCTCTGGTCCAGGGGGAGCAGGCGGAGATACAGCAAAGTACTTAGATGGAGAATTCTAAGAGCCATTGGGCTTTATGGATTATGAATTGGTTGCTTTTGCTATGGGAAATGAGGCAGTTGCTCTGAGTGTTGGCGATGATTAGTGGATACTTTTATTAGAACTTTGAGATTCTACGGATGTCGTGTGCGTTACTATGTGTACTTTCATGTATAGAATTTGCCGATATAATTTGATTTAATTATAAATTTTGTTAAGTATAATACATTTATAACATTTACTTTTTTATAACATCTCCGATCCCAAATAGTATATATAATCTAGATCAGCATCAACAGCCGAGTTGATAGCCGTATTCGTCTGTTCGTCTGTCCGTGCATCCGTCAGTTTGTTTCCATACGAACTAGTCTCTCTGTTTTAAATTTAGCATGGGCCCTTCTTTCTGTTACAGCCAGCATATATGTATGTCGGAGCCGACTGAGTCGGACCTCTGTATAGCTGCCATAGGAACGATCGTCGAAAGGTAGGTATCGAAGTCGTGCAATCGAACATATATTTGTAAAAATTAACAACAAAAAAATGTAAATTCAAAATGTTATACATTTTATTCATTTTTATAACTATATACATAAATTAATAAATTTAAAATTGTGAATTGGAAGACTGTATAGATTCGGAATGAAAAGTCAATATTATGTACGCTTAACTTAAGCTATAATATTTGAATATTATATTACTCCGAACAAAGGAAAAATTGTTTATTGCCATTATTTATTTAATGGAACTGATAAAATACGAAAATTTTGTATAACACCAATTGTCGTGCTGCCTAATTAGTGATCAGTAGGATTATAAATTTAAAAGGATAATTGGATTGCGTTGACAATTATTAATTGTTTTCACAAAATATCAACCTAATGACAATATAATTTATTGTCCTTCACTAAATTGACACAGTTTTCCTGGCAGTAATTCAAAAGGGCAGCCATTTACCATGATAAGCTAGAATTAATTCATTTTCATGGCGGAACAAGCACGACAAACTGCAATATTTCAAATAGCCTGATGAAACGTAGCCACTCTCTCGTTTATTTAAACTGAAACTGGACTTGGACCATTCAGCTCGGGCAATCAATAACAAATTGAATGCGATTTCTGGCCAAAAGACATTGTTGTATTGTGCATCATAAATCGTGGAAATCGAGAGCCAACCACGCACCACTCAAACCTAGCGGGAAAGATGGAAAAGCGATTGAAAGCAAACAATGTAAATATTCAAAATGGCTGACATTTGCGCTATATATGTGTGTATATACCAGCCAGCCAGCCAGGAGAAATGGCCATAATAACCATATATATGGTAACAAAACAAAGCTGCATGGCGTGGCAACATGTTAATAGCATTTCATGCACCGCTGAGATTCACATTGTTGGCATGCCAGCCAGCAAACATTGGCATTGCCATTCCCCGAGCGTCACTTGCTCCAAGCTTATATACATATGTATAGAGCATGGCTGGAGGTGCACGCTGATTGGTGAACGCCGGTCAGGTGGTTTGCCCCCACTCCAAAGGGGGGGCGCTCGTACGGTTTGCTACTGTTGCCAATCAACCCTTGGCCAATGCTGCGCTACGCTGAAATTCCTGCACAGCCTCAAGGCTGAGCCTGCGCAGCTGCTCCTTTGAAGCTTTTCACCACACTCGTGCTGTCACGGCGTGTGTTGCGTATGTGTGCGAGCGGGATGGCCTCTGTTGATTATGTTGCCGGAGCATAATCTGGACCAGGGCATCCGCTGGCTGGCCAGACAAGAAGGGCACATGCCTGTGCCGTTAGTTTCACTTCGTGCGTTGTCCTGCTGAGGCCAAGCCAGCGCCGCAGCGTTAGTGCCAGTGAGTGTGCCAATATAGTGGCTATATCTATATATATATATATATATATATATATATTTATATATAGTCGCATATATCTTGCTTAAATAACAATAAGTTAATACTAACTTTGTGCTTTCGAAAATCAGCTGAAAAATCGTGTTGGAATTCTCGTAAAACTCTTTGAGAAATGAACACGCGTACGCCTTCCAGTTCCAGTAGTCGAAAATTTCCAGTGTATATACCAAGAAGCACCCACATACAACAGTCCCCCTCCCCCACTTAATATATATACATAGCTTCCAGCTTCAGGTTGCCTTGCCACATGCGACGGAGACAGCTGCTTATGTACTTGCCCCATGTTGCAACTGTCGCATTCTGGCCGCGCCACCTGAGTTTCTGGCATTGTCTGATCCTCGCGTGGTCCATGTTCGCGCCTGACTGCCGCACAGTCTTCAGACAGAGTTGAACGCGGATCGTCAACACCATCCGCAACCGCGTCGTCGTTGTTGTCGTCATCGTTGCTGTCGGAGATTGCCGCCGGGCTTGTCCTCAACTCTGTCTGAATTCTGTCGCGCCGGCTCTAGAAAGAGCTTAACTTTTAATTTCTAATTAGTTTTAGAAATTTACCTTATTTTTTTTTTTGGCGGGCGTGTGTTGCTTAGAAAACGTGAGAAACTCTATAAAACTAACCTAACCTAAAAAAATCATTTACGTCACTTAAAATTTGTGTCTAATCCTAACACGTTCTGTAAAAATTCGCATCTCTTGTTCTTTTTGCAGCGTTACGTGTTATGTTAAATGCGATTTGAGCTACGTCTAAATATATGTATATACATATATATCTATAATCTGTGTACCTTATTTGTGATATCATAACCAAAAAAAAGTTATTTTAAAATATTAAAATTTTGTTGCATAATTATTAAATTACAATAAACAAATAACTAAAATAAAATATAACCATAAAATATTACGATAACTTGTTTGGGATTACGTGAAGCGATTACATAATCGAGAAAAGCGCCAGAATGGATTACGCAATATAATGCGAGCAATGTAAGTGAGAACCAGAGAACAACGAAAGGTCAAATGTTGTATGTGACGATTGCATATAGATAGCCATTGATTTTTCCATATTTATTCAGAGAGGGAGTCATATGAATAGATTTCGGATATTCTTAGAACTATATAAATGCAATTGCTAAAGACAAAAGACAATGTATACTTTGGTTTATATGAAAGATAATTTTTAGAATTATTCAAATGGTATATGGCATATTATGCAATACATAATATTCTTCTCTTAGCATAATATATATCTCTCAGATCCATTCCTCGATAAATGGTGGAATAACATTTTATCACAGTAAAAACCAAGCATCTTCTATTCGGGAAAGTTCCACATTCAAACAAAAAAAAGTTTTCCTAAATTTTACAATTTATTTTTTTAAATATTTTTAAACTATTATTTAACATATTTATTCAGTGTGCATTTAAAAAGATTTATCTAAAGTGTTCCTAAATAATTAATAGTAATATAGTTAAATTTTTTAAATTGAAAAACTGAAAAAAAAAATTCTAAACATAGTGACCTCCCAGAAAGATATATCCAAATCTCGCAGATACACTTTTTTGTACCCTGAATATTTAGCAAATAATTTACTACTCTGCCCCACCCAAACCACCCTAAGGGAAACCAATTGCTAGTCTCAATTCCACTCGACTATCAGCTACCAAGCAAATTTATGAACATAATCGGCTTAAGAAACGTCCTGGCAACATTTGCAACCAACAAAACAACAAATAAGACGACGAATGTGGCAAATTATGAGGCTTTTTGTAGGATTCGCTTATCAGCAGCAAAACACGAGCCCACACACAAAAATTACATTAATAATGTTGCATATCTTTTTGGCAGGCACTGTAAAAATGCAACACCTTTCGGCTGCAACAACAACAACAACGAATAGCAACAACAACAACAGTCGAATGGCGGCCCACTGAAGCCTCCCCCCCACTCAGCCAGAGCCAGAACGAACCAACCAAAATTGAGTTATAAAATTTGTTGATGACTGCTTCAAAATTGGCCTCCTGCTGATTCGACACGCCCAAAAGTACAGCGCTCAGCCGCCGTGAAGTAGGCAACAAAATATTTATGCGCACAAACGATAACAAGAGCAACAACAACAACCACAACAACAACAACAAGTGAGCGCAGCCAGTGAACAAAAACAAAAAGTCCATCAACCAGCCGCATCATGAAGGGCTTGACGGCGTTTAAGGAGAAGGCGACGGGCGTTTTCAGCGGGTGAGTCGAATTGTATACCATGATTTTACACTGAGCAACAGAATTTTTAATCTATAAAAAGCCGAAATTATAAGATATATTAGATTATAATGGCTGTCAGTTATTGAATACATATATCGCTTGTTGGGTTTACGGCTTGAAGCAGCTCAAGGCAGGGACTTCAGGCTCTGCTTGAAAATTTGTAGAAAACAATAAGGTGCTTAATATAAAATTGCCCGTTGTATTGAAAATATTGCAAGTCGTGTATATTTTCATATGCAATTCGCGGGCTACATTGGATCAATTACTTAAATTGTTATCCACCAAATATAGTTAGATAAATGGTTGGGAGGTATTTCGACTTTGTGGCAAGTTCTTTTTTATTTCTCCTTTCGACTTTATGGCTTTTTCTCATTTTCGAGTCTAAAATTAGAAAGTTTGTTGCACAGTGTCAAATGATGACTGGGCAATATGCCGAGACTGAAATATGAATGCAATCAAATAGGTTTAGGAAAAAACTGAAATGAAATGAATAAAAAAAAATTTAATTTAACGCAACGTTGATCAGGTTTGACTCACACCAATCTGCGTGGTTGGTTGAACTTGACCATGCAAAGGATGATGTGGGACTCGATATGGGAGCGACGAGTAGAAGTAAATATGCCCAAGTACTTAGTTATAGAGAGACAGAGAGAGCAAGAGAGAAGGGAATGAGAGAGATTTGCTGGCGTCGCGAAAGTTGGGCACGTGTCGCTGTCGCGCGTTGTGCCGCGTCGCAAAGTTGTAAAATTATTGGCATGCTTAACAAGTCATTAAAGGCGCCGCAAAAAGTTGCAGATTTTGCGCGCAGCATGAGTCAGTCAGTTCTTCAGCCAGTCAGTCAATCTCTCAGTCAGTCCGCCAGTCAGTCAATCAGTCAGTCAGTCAGTTAATCAGTCAGCCTTTCAGTCAGTCAGTCAATCAGTCACTCAATCAGTTAGTCAATCTCTCAGTCAGTCAGCCGTTCAGTCAATTGGTGGGTTAGTCAGTCGGTCGGTTAGTTAGTCAGTTAGTCGGTTAGCCGGTCAGTTAGTCAGTCAATCAGTCAGTCAATCACTCAGTCAGTTTTTTGGCCCGTCAGCTAGTCAAACATACAAGATGGTCAGTCGTTCAATCAATTCAATCAGTCTGTGCATCAGTTTATTTGGTTTCCAACTAATACGTCAGTCAACATGCCTCAAGCAGATGAAAAAGCTAAGACGTCAATCAATCCGTCATTCCGTCAGTCAGTTTTTCTGTCCATCAGTCAGTCCCCAGCTATGATGAAGCCTCGCAAAGTTATAAAATTATTGAGACGCATAAAAATTTGTTAAGAAGCTGAAGAACTCGCGCACAACTTTGCTCAGTCAGTCAGTCAATCAATCGATCAATCAGTAAGTCTGTGCATTAGTCAGTCATTCAGTCTGTCCGTCAGTTATGGTGGGAATGAACGCAATGGCATGCCGAGACATTCAGGATGCCCACCGTTGGCTCAGGAATTCCGTGCACGTTGCCAGCTGCGGCACGTGCTCAAACGGAAGCCGGCGCCAGCTCCCGAGGCAGCTGCTGTGGCAAATACATCAAGTGCTAGTTGCTGGCGCAAACAACACAATAAAGAGTCATGAGACTCATATTGGGCCAGCACAGGAGCAAGATGTGTGTGAATATTTCTGGTATGCAATTTTATGAGCACGCTCTCACGCGACACAGGACTCAGTGCGAGTGAAATTGTACAACTGATTTCTCAAGGACTTTTCGGGGCGCAAATTAGAAATTGGAACAATAGGTGAGCTGCCATTGCGGCTCGCTTTCATTAAGGAATGTGTTAAGCATTGGCAAAAAAAAAGAGTGTATTGCATACCAACAGGCAACAGACAGCGGCAGCAGGCAGGGGCTGCTTGAAATTCAAAAGGCTGCACGCAAATGAAATTGATTTTTACGAGCCATTCAATGGTTGCCAGGATGCCAACCACACACAGGATCTGTAGCTGAAGCTGAGTGGCACTCGAAGAGCGCGTCGCGAAGAAATTCCAGATGCGTGTGCAACTTCAAGGACAAGCTGCCGCCACTCAGCGCCAGCTCCTTTGTTGTAAATGAAATTAGAATTGTCGAGTTGAATTGACTCGAAGGAGTCGCACTCTCATGACGCTAACAAGCCGCCAAGTCAAACATTTGGCCCCGTTTTCTAGCTAAATGCCCGCCTAATGGGCGCGCCATTGTGGCCAAGTTAAAGCAACCTTTATGCCAACTGCCAGCTTCCACAACTGACTTCAACTGACTTGGCGGCGCCAGTTAGCCATAATCTATGCGGCGCCCTAAAGTCTGCAAAATTTTTACTGACAATCAAACGCGCCAAATAAGTGGCTGAAAAACTTGCGGAATAGTTTATCAAGGCGGCAAAAAAAATAAAAAGAAAACAGAAAGCCAAACACAATTGAAATTTTTCTTAGCACGAATTCGATATGCGCTTTCCAATTTTGTAGTCAAAATATTGGGTAAACTCTCCTATGAAAATGCCAACCACCAATTTTTCACAATTGCGGTGGGAATTCTAAAAATTCCGCTCTTATTGTAAAATATGCAATTTCTTAGCTCTAATGGGTTGGGCTTTATTTATTTATCATCAATCAATTAGTCAGGGCAAACAGTTTAGTAAAAATACTCTTTTTCAACCTAAGAAGGATTTTCTTAAAAAAAAAAAACAGATAATTACCCGAGGATATAGCATTTTCCTTGCCAATAGCTATTGCTGTGTCTTTTCGATTGCTGACAAACATTGCTACAAAGTTCTAATGTTCACAACGCATAAATGTATGCGAGTGGCCATAAATAGCGCATAAAATTGGCGTCAGACGAGCCGGCATTAAAGTCGGTCAAGGCGCAAGGACTACAAGGAAGCTGCGTGACCAGACGAGGGTAGCTTTGCTAGCAGACATTTGAGTTATGTGACAAACGGCGACGGCGAAGACGACGCTGGGATGTTCGGATGTGGCTCCGTTCTACAGTAGTGGCATTTTTTTGTTGTTTTTTTTTGCTGGTGGCTTCTTATTAGTTTGTTTTGGGGCGGAGGCCAGGCGAATGTCTGGATATTTATGAAGAGAAATGCCAGAGAGAGACAGAGCCGAAGGGAGTTGTTAACGCAGCCTCTGATGAGGTTATCAATGCTGATGTGTCACTTAGGCAGGGTTAATGCGGCCTTTGCCGTTGCTCCCACCACATTGTCATACATTAAGCCAAAATACACAGGCTGTCATCAATCAGCCTTTGTCAGTGCGGTAAACGCTGTTAAATGGCGAGCTTTAAGCCGCAATCTGATTTATAAATCAAGAGAAATCAAATCGAGAAAAGTTAAAAAATCGCTACCTGGCAGCCAAATCGACTTGAAATGTCCCCCCGGTCTATCGGCACTTAATAAAATTGAATTCTATTTCAATTGGATGACTCGATGCCAACCCCCAAAGAAGCCGCAAATGCCGCTGGGAAAACAACAGGCAGCAGCGGTCCAGCTGGGCGCTGAGGTGGAGGGGTTTCTTACTCTAACAAGCTGAAAATATTTGTGTTTTTACACGCTGTTCCCCCTGACCAAATGCCTCTCTCCCTTTGTCACGCCTTCTCACCTGTTGCTGCCCCATTTCGCTGCAGCTGTCAACTAATTGGCATGAGTTATGCCCTCTGTGCTTGCCTTACCATCTTTGCAGCCTCAAGCCGAATATGGAGAAGTTCGAGATATCGCAGAGCTACCATGGCGGACACGGCGGCTATGAGGAAATGGAGGGTGGCGAACGCGAGGGACGCGGCCCCGGCGGCGGACACGCCTATGACGACGACGACGATCGACCGGACTCGCCCGCCTCCTTCGAGGAGATCGAAAGGCCGCCGCTGCGCAAAATCGACAAGTACTGCAAGGCGGAATGCCCCTGCATGCCGGCACGGTACACCATCGCTACAATGGCCTGCGTGGGATTCATGATTGCCTTCGGCATGCGTTGCAACATGTCAGCCGCCAAGCTTAAAGGCGAGCACAATGGGGTAAGCAGCCAATACAAGCTGAAAGGAGCTCAACTGACAAACAAAACTGTTCAGACGAATTGTGGAATATATAATACCCTTGCAGAGGGAAATATAGCTCTCATAAACAGCGGATCGCTATATCCTAAAATTAAATCATTAAACTCATGCGAAAACTCATCAAACAATTAATTTTTGTATGGAACAATCTTCTGGTACTTTTCCAAGTTAAAGTTATAAAAATTCAAAAAACCAAGTTTTCAATGTTGTTCTCCAAGCGAATAACTGAAAAATAAAATGTTATAATACCATCTAAGGAGACATAAAAGACATGAGTGGAGTTTGGGATTAAATTTGCTTCATTTGATGGCAAAGCTGTTGTCAATTAGAGTGTATATGTGTGTGCGTTTTCACATCACTCAAAAGTCACACACATAGTCACGCCCACTCACATACAGCCAAGCACACACACACAAACACATATATACGCATAGCTTCCGCTTGTCGCTCGTTAATAAAGGCCCGCGGCACAAATTTTAATGATTGTGACTCTTCCTCTTAGGCTCGGCTGCTTAGCCTCAGCCTCTTGCTCTCTCTCTCTCTCCGATTCAATCTCTTTGACACGCTCTCTCTCCCCCTCTCGATAGACCGTCTTTATGAACTGGACAGTTGCTGTGGAAAGCCATGTGGACTCATCCTTCTTTTGGGGCTATCTGGTTACACAAATACCCGGCGGTTTTATTGCATCCAAGTTTCCGGCGAACAAGATTTTCGGGCTCTCGATTGTAAGCTCCGCCTCGCTGCATCTGTTTGTGCCCTTCGCGATGACTCTGATGCACGGCCATGTGGTCATATGTGTGCGCGTGCTGCAGGGACTCTTTGAGGTAAGTATACAAGGAGAAAAAAAAACATCTAAATTCCAAATCAAATTCGATTTCGATTTCGAATTTTTCGCCAACCCGGCGACAGATCAAAGCTAAGAAGGATTACATGACTATTCTTTGGGGGCGGGGCGTTGTCTGTGCCGGGGGTGGGTGTGGCGGGTAAGTGGAAGGATTTTGCTTTATGATAAAGCAAATATGTGAAATGAAAACATGTCCTAAACCGGGGGTTGGGCACAACAAAAAAAAAAAAAAAAATGAAAACGAAAATAACAAAAGCATTTATTTTAATGCGATTTCTTTGTGTGCGAGTGGGTGTGTGCCTGTGCGTGGGTGTGTGCCTGTGTGTGTGTGCCAGCTTGGCTTTGCAATCATTTTGAGCAACTGCTTCACTCCATCCACAGGGCGTAACATATCCAGCTTGTCACGGCATTTGGCGCTTCTGGGCGCCACCCATGGAGCGCTCCCGCCTGGCCACATTGGCCTTCTCCGGTTCGTATGCGGGCGTCGTGGTGGGTCTGCCGCTATCCGGGCTGCTGGCCGATGCCGTTGGCTATCAGGCGCCCTTCTATGCGTATGGCGCATTTGGCATCATTTGGTACCTGTTCTGGATTTGGTTGTGCTTTGAGAATCCGCGCAAGCATCCCGCCATTAGCATACCCGAACTGAAGTATATTGAGAAATCGCTGGGCGAATCGGCGCATCCAACAATGCCGTCGTTCAAGACAACTCCGTGGCGCCAAATGCTGCGCTCCATGCCCGTCTATGCGATTATAGTGGCAAATTTTTGCCGCTCCTGGAACTTTTATTTACTGGTGCTGTTTCAGTCATCGTTCCTCAAGCACAAGTTTGGCTTTAAGGTGGAGGAGGCGGGCTTTGTGGGCTCGTTGCCCCATTTGATAATGACCACAATCGTGCCCTTTGGCGGCATGCTGGCGGATCATTTGCGCAAAAATGGCATACTCTCCACGACGAATGTGCGCAAGCTCTTCAACTGCGGCGGCTTTGGCATGGAGGGTCTATTCTTTCTGTTTGTCGCGCATTCCTCCACGGCGGTGAGTATTGGGCAGTGGGGCTGGTCAGCGGCCCGGCGATATATACAGCTAGTCCTTCTTGTAGACGGGCGCCATGTTTGCGCTAACCTGCGGCGTCGCCTTCAGTGGCTTTGCCATCTCCGGCTACAATGTGAATCATTTGGATATAGCGCCTCGATACGCGAGCATCCTGATGGGCTTATCCAATGGCATTGGTACCTTGGCTGGCATCATAGTGCCCTATGCGCTGGACGGGCTCATCCAAGCGAATGTAAGTTGAGATTTGCTCAGCGCTTGGTTCAGCTACCGAGTTACCCAAGCTTTTTGCTCTGATTACAGCCGACTGGCTGCTGGACAACGGTGTTTACACTGGCCGCCTGTGTTCATTTGATTGGCTGCACTTTCTATGGCATTTTTGCCTCCGGCGAGTTGCAGCCATGGGCCGAGCCGCCGCCTGAGGAGCAGCAGGTGTGGGCACCTCCAGCGGGCGCCATCACACACGATGATCCCAGCCAGGCGGGCATGCTGGGCACATACATGAAGGAAACACAATTTGTAAGTCGGGCAACACGCCAGGGCTAAGGTACTTTGGTGACACAATCTAACCCCCCCATTTTTCAGGGCGCACCGGAGTATACGGAGCAGAGCCAAATGCAGCAATCGAATGCCATTAGCTATGGCGCCACCGGGCACGTGGCCAACAATCCATTTGCATTGGCAGCGTCAGCACCCATTGCCGAGGAGCCCGCCCAGCCGCCGTATGTGGACAATGCCTACGACTACACGCAAGGGCAAATACCGCCCTCGACGAATCCCTACGAGCAGCCGGCCTATCAGCAGCAGTAAGAATCAATGCCACAATCTGATATAAATTAGCTTTTAGTTCTAGTGCAAAAAGCCGTTTATTGTTTGTTCCTGATGGGGTTGATTTGTATATAAGATACTATACGCGATATATTTAACAGCAAGACCATTAACTATTCAGCAACTTCAGACCCGAGTCTAACGAATTTCTACATACAAAAAATAACGAAACCAAACAAAACTCTCACGACACTAACACAATGAAACTATGTACCTAACAGAGCAACTACATATTGTACGCGTATACAGAACACGAAAGATATCGTTTAACTTCTCGCCGCACACAAATCACAAGAAATAAAATAATAAAGAATAGTGCTATAGTCGGAAGGGCACGACTGGGAGATACCCTGAACCCATGACGAGCTGCCGTTATAGATATTTTGTCATTTCTGTCTCTATGCATAGCAAATGCTTCCTTGATTAACTTTGGGACTTAAAGTCTGATCCAAATGCAATTTTAAGGGCTTTAAAGTGGCACAAAATAGTGTGTGTATACCCTGTAAAAATGAGTTCTCAATTCTGATAAAATAGGGAAGGTATCTACAAATAGGCCATACCTCGAAATCGGTATTTACCAAGAAGATGAAAGCAGATCTCCAAATTCGTGTCTAATTTTTAATGGGTTCAGGGTATAAATAGAAAACAAAATCAAATATATAGCCTACTTTTAAGCATCGCTTCCGCGAAATTTCTATTTACAAGCTCCAGCATATTAATAAACAAATCGAAAAATTAAATAAAATAATATTTGACATTTGTGTATATCATAAACAGACATAATCCAGACACAAACACAGCACGTCTCAAATCGTTATTGAAATATTATTATAAATAATTTAAAACCATAAATTATATAGTCACTTTATAGCTACATATACTATAATATATAGCGAATTATTGTTGTTAATTATTCAAGTAGCTAAAACATAACAGAAAATGAAAATGAAAGTGAAAGCTGCAAGTTGTATTACCGTTGATGATATTCTTCTGTGTATGATAAACACCCGGCTCTAAATGTCATTTATATCTAAGCATTAGTAAATTTTAATCTAAACAATTCTAAACAATAAGCAATTGTTGATGTTCGGCACGAATGATAAACTCTAAAACCCATATAAACAAATACTTATGCATTATATAACCACTATAAATCAGATATACATATAGTTATAGTATTTTAGTTCGTTATGTTGTCGGTACTCTTATATACACACATATATATATGCTTTTGTATTTGCACATTGGTTCAGCAGGACTTGAATATGGCATGATATAGGTACTAAAACATATACTAGCTTAGTCTGATAGTAGCTAGCATTAGACGCCAATAACCTCAGAATTGGTCTTCATATGCTCTTCGCTACATCTTAAACATTTTACTCTAACATTTTTTTATATAACGTAAACAACAAGAATATCTGTAGGTAAAACTGCTGGGTCTTAAATTAATATGCGTTTTTTTCTGTTATTATTTATTACCTATTAGTGTTGAATTATTTGAATATTATTTTTATTAAACTTCTTTTGTTTGTATTATTTAAATTATTTTCTAAATCATTTTATGCTTATGCTGCACTTTCTTCAAAATTAATGCACATTTTAATTTATTATTAAAAATAATATAATATTATTATTATTAATTTTAATCATATTTATTTTATTGCATTTAAATTAAATCTAAATAAAAATATAAATATTTGTATTATTAAATATTATGAACATTATTGTTAGATAATACAAATATTTATATTTTTATTATTCATATATATCCAAATTTTAATTTTTTAAATTAAGCTCAGCAGAAGTTTTTTATTTCTCACTCTTTATGTATGCATATAAAAAGACGAAGAACAAAGAATTTTACTGTACATACTTAGAATAGCACAAAGTTAAAATATGATTGCATTCATACTTAATTATGATTTAAGTCCATTTTTTTTTTAATTTTATTCAGCGCACTTTATATACTGCACATAATTGTTGTTTCACTAACTTGATATTATGCAATGCACCTTACAAATATTTCATTTACGCTTATCTCAAATGCACTCTCTTAGTTGTATCACTTATTTTTGATATGATTTATCTCTTATATGCACTCTCTTAATTTCATCTTTTGTTTTTAATATCATTTTTCTTTTATATAGACGCACTTACTTTGTTGACATCACCAATAATCGTATTAAATGTATTATATAACAACAGAAAAAGTACTTAGTAGCGAGTATTCTATAAAAAATGTAATATTAATCAAATTATTCACAATTAAATCACTATGTATTAATAAAATGTGAAAATTTTCTAACTAAAAGAGTCAATTCTTATACAGTAATTTGTACAGAGCAGCGAATATATTATATAAATACATATTTAATAATTATCTAGAGCGTAATTAAATAATAATAGATTTTAAATGTTATTGTATAATTATGCGTATTGATTAGTCAGCTCAGCTAAACATCGGCTAATGACTATGACATATAGTATATATACTAAAAAATACCAACTTGTGTTTGCACAATTAATCTGATAAAAACAAGAACAACAACAAAAACTGCTTGTGAAAGCGACAATACCTAGTTAAATAAGCTTTGTTATTTATATATAAAAACATATAATATTATTTAAATATTTAGAATTTTCATTGATTTTAAATTCAGGCAAAATTTTGATGCTTTTCTACTGGAATTGCAGCAAATAACAAAATTTTGGCCATTGGGGCGTATGTGTAATATTAGCATTATTCAATTAAAGTCTGTATATAAACGGCATAAACTATAAAAGGAAATGCTCAGAACTATATGTAGTTATTATTAAATATATATAAACATAATTATTAATATACGTATATGTGTCTTTAAAAGTTAAAAGAGTTCGTGACAGGAGAGATGAACATAACCGAGGCTCTCAATTGTCATTAGCTAACTTATCTAACTATATAAAACTTGAATTGTATTATTTCTATATATGATTCTAATTATTTTTTGAGAGACACCGTAGCTCTCAAGGCTGTGTGGACAATAATAACGAATATGTTAACGAAAAGCCACAGTGTTTTTTGTTTTAAACTAAACATTTAAAACTCTAGCTAAAGCCATAGTTACATACATATATATGCATATAATTACGAAACAGTTGAACATTTGACCGGACAGTCTGTACATATGAATGCCAACATAGCTAAATGCCATCATTAAATGCTTTTGTGAGTAATTTAAGTGTACATAAAAAAAAAATAACATATTTAAATAGTTAAAAACAAAACCATAAACTGGCAAAAAACGAAGAGCACAATTGCAATGAATATCATTTAAAGCCCATTAAATGCGCATTAAACATGAACCGGTTATAACTAGGGTACTTCAACATGAATATGACAGTAAATAAATTCCATTTATAATAATAAAATAGGAGCTCTATGAATTCACTCATCAATTGTCAGATATATTTAGACGCACAAATAGCACATACACAAACAAATCTTAACTCTAAATCATATAAATATAAAATGTACTAGGAGAATAAAAGTTGGAAATATTCTTTTCGAAATTGATAAACAAAATATTAATAATACTTTTTGAACTTTTGAAGAGTTTATTCCATTTATTCCTGCTATGTATATACATATATATATATATATATATATATATATATTATATTTTCATTGAAATTTCAAACCAATTTCTTTGTATTTTTCGTGTGTTTTGTTCCATATTTATTAAATGTATAAAATTAAAATATATATATATATATAACATATATATAATTACTAATAAATAACATAATGCAAGCTCCCTTTTCTGGCAACACCCGCCCATGTTGTATAATTTGATGAACTAATATAAAAAAAGTATTCAAAATATATTATAGTATATGCTGATATCCAACCAAAAACAACAGCAAACATTATGGCTACTATAAATCAATTAATAAAAAATTAAAAATAACAAATTTAACCAATAGCATTTGAGTTGCACGAAAAATTGGACTTGATTTAACACCAATACTGTTATACGAAAATTGATTCATAGACCCCATCTTGTAACCCGACTATACGAACCACAATATACGAGTACGATATAAAGGCTTAACAAATTATACCTAAACAAATGTATTTGGAATTCAATAAAATGAAAATGTTAACAAATTATGCCAAACAAAAAAAAAAAAGAAGAAAGAAATGCAATTTGTTGATTAATTCGATTTATGTATGTATTTTTTCTACTATAGTTTTATTCAAAATTCCAGCAGAGCGTCGGACTTACAACTTAATGATTAGATTTAGATTTGTACAAGACGCGGACAATTGGAGCCGGCTTTGCGACCCCTCAACGACGATGGCGGCAAATAAAAACTAAGCAAAAACAAATGAAATAAATACAAGTACGTAATTAGGAAACAACAACTAAAATCACATGAGTGCTACAGCATAAAACAGAACTTAATTATATTCAAGTCGGTTAGTCCATTAACGCCGTACGCCCTGGTACTCGCCATTGGAGCGCCCCTTGCCCGGAAATCCCCTGGCAAAGGGCGCCTTCGCATTCGTAGTTACATAATAGTTGCCACGTGCCCTGTTTTAAAATAGTTGTATATATTTTTTGATAATCGAAAATATGATATTATAGATTCATTTATGCTTACTTATGCGAACAGTGCTCGCCCATGAGCACATAATCGGAGTCCTTAGGCTCGCACCAGCCTATCAGATAGGTAAATAGATTGGGACAGGGTCCCGCATAGAAGCCACGCTTTGTTGTTATCGATTCGATAAAGTACGGCGTGACCTTTGTGTGATCGCAGGCCAAGGTTTCTAAAGTGGTTAAAAAAAGTTATTAATAAACGCCTAACAAAAAGGGTATTCCTCAGATTCCTAAATGTGTTTCTACATATCTTTGTTCCTCATAGAGCAAACGCTTTTAATCAACTGGAATTCCACAAGCAAGAGGGCATTGTTTTCTTTAAACTTGGATCAATATCAATTTTGTTTTTAATTTACAGTCGCCCGTTGTACTGAAAATATCGTAAACCTTAGGTATTTTCATATACATGATGCGGGCTAAATTTGTTCTGTAACCAACATTGGCATCTACCACATTTGGTTGATAAGACCAATGGTTGAGGCACAATTGCTGTGAAATGCTCTATTTAATTTTTATTTTAAAGTTAAATTTTCTGTAAAACTTTATATTTCGTTTCGCATGATATTTGTAGAGCTTGGTTGTTTGAGTTTCAGCCAGTGCGACTTTGTTTTAAGTATTCTTTGTTTTAAGTATTCTCAGTTCTCAATTCACTTATTTATTAAAAATCGTTAGTTATAGCTCGATTATATTGCCAAATATAGGTTGATTCCACACAATCGATATTTCGATTATTCCCAAGCGAATCTTATCGATTCTCCCCTTAAATCAATAGTTGATGCTGTCATCGTAGATATTTTAATTCTACACAATCGATATTTTCATTGTTCCTAATCGATAAATATCGCTCTTTTCTATCATAGCCATACGAAAATATATCGTAATTTATCGAACCATTTCAATTGCTTATGTTAGGAGTGCAAATCCAAATTTTATAATTAAGTTTCGTTAAAATTTATTTGGTTTATTTTAGTTTAAGCTTGTTGAACTTTAAAGCGACTTACGAAACAACGTGGCTGAGCCCACACACGCCGGTTGTCTGGTGCCTCCATTCACATAGAAGTCTGCATGGCCACTGGAATGCCACTGGCCAAGTATGCCGGCGCCCGTGTGCAGCACGTCCACAAAATGCGCATCGCTGGTATCCAAGTCGCGTGAATTATTCGCGCCCGCATAGAAGAATATGGTGGGATCAAGTGCCGTAATGCGTCCGATCTTGCCCTCCTCGGGCTTTAAATAGTTGGCCACGAGGCCCGCAATATGCGCACCCACGCTGTAGCCAATAAAGTGCAGATCATCCGGCTGAACACCGCGTGGATGCCGTGCCAGATACTTGACCAGCTGAGAGATGCAGAGGCTGCCAAAGCGCGGAGACCACTCCATTTGACTGAGGCACGGCTCCTTCACTGCATTGCTGTAGTCCACAATGATGATGTTGTACTCGCCAATGCTGAAGTACGCCTCGCGCAGATCCGGACTGGGACTGAGCTCACGTCCGCCGCCAAAGCCATGGATAATGATCTTGGTGGGATGGCGTGGATTGAAGTGCGTATAGTAGAGCGCATTGGGATCCAGCACGTCCAGATATTCGGGCTGTTCTTGTGTGCGACGCGTATACAAATAGAACTGGATCTTGGGATGCGGGCAACGATAGGGCTTCTCTAGGCAAGAATCCGTTATGTAGACCTGCGATTGATTTTGACCCGCGGCAACGGCAGCGGCCACAGCAGCCGCGTTTTGTCCAGCTGCAAAATGGATGAAATTGAAATGTATATAGCATGGCATCGGACTATGACAACCGCCTCCGATACGACAGCCCCAACTGCCAGTACACCTCCGACTCGAACGCTTAGGCCAAACGAGTTTGGCCAGCCATGGAATTAAGCTGGAATTACATAAGCTGCTGGCGCTGATGCCGCCTGGTGGCGACATTGAATGTTGCCGATTTGCGGCAAAGGCAAATGTCATGAAACTGCAATTGCCACATTTGCAAGCACAATTGCTGGTAAGCTGTGCCGCCTCTGGCTGTGGCTGCAACATTTCTTCAATTGTGGCAAAAGTAAAAGTCAGCCAAAAGCGCCCCAAAACGGAAGTTTTGCCTCGCGCAACAAGCACTCGTTTACTTGTTGTTGTTTTTGTTAGTTGATAGTTGTTGTTTTTGTTGCAAGTTGTTGCTATTTATAACACAAACACCGTGACGTGACATAACTGGACGCTGCTTGTGTGATTCATGGCAACAACCATAAGGAAAACCCATATTTGATGAGCTCATCTGAACAGCTGCCTCAGCTGAAAGCAAAGATATGCGCATTTCCGTTCACAGAAAGAACCAGTTCGAGTGTATTTTGATCTTGTATTATTCGAAATTGTATTATGGATAAATTTGAAGGCATTTTATGTTTAAAGCTATTCTGTTAAAAAATACTTTGCTGGGAAGAAAAAGTCTCAGTCTCCAAATCTGAACTCATATCGAGGACTAATTGGAAAAATATAAAACTGTTAAAATATATAAAATTTCAAATATTTATATGCAATTGTGCAACAAGTCAAAAAGTTAAAAGTTAGTTATTGGAACCAGTTAACGTTAAAAAACAAATTTGTTGCATTCTTGGAACCAGTTTTTGTAAAATGATGTGTCCTAATTTTTGGAACCAGTTTATGTGTGAAAAAAAATCTGAAAAAATTAGTGCCTTGCAATTATTACAGACTGATTGATTTGATTTGAGTTACAATTTATCACTGACTTTATTAGAAGTATAAGTTTAAAAAGTTCAATGAATGGAACTCCGTGTAATATTTCCGATTTATAGCAATATTTTGCACTTAGATGGAGAACCAAAGGAACAAGCTAAAAATACGGAACTACTTTAAGGCCAGACAACAGCCAGCACTAACTGACAACTAAAATCGGAGTCTCACGCGTACTATATTACGTTGTGCTTTGAATTTTTACGAGCTTATTAAAAATGAAAAAAAAAATATCATAAAGAATCGGCCTTCAGTTAATCAACTGGCTGGCCAATTGGCCCACTTGCTAGCAGCTCAGATGCTAAGCCAGCTGTCTGATGTTGCAATGCAACCGGTCTGCAACTGTTGCAGTTGCGGTTGCAGCTACGCCTCACACTGATCACTAATCACTGATCAGTGATCAGTGATCGTAACCTGCGCCTTTTAGGGCATCCGGCATTAATAAACGGCTCACCTCATGGCACAGTGAACAGGCGGCAACTAGTTGGTTCAGTTGGTCCGTCTTTGGTACTGGCAACCATCTCTCCTAATGACAAGTTGTCACAATGTTATAATACACTGTACACAAAATACACTTTGCATAAAGTATTTTTCCGAATGATTGCCAAATAAATAATCGCAAAACTGGCTCTTGTAATTGATAATAAAAATCAATGTCAATAAACGTTTCTTTAAGTAAATCTTATAGCCTGTTCGACTATCTGAGACCTTAAGTTTAAGACTTTTGCATTTGTAAGTCTCGCAAATAATCGATAACTGCCACGAAAAAGATATATATTTCGATATTAGCTTAAGCTTCAGATTTGTTATTCAGGCGTTCCGCAGCGCGGCACTGTGCACAGTGTGTCTTCCAGCTGGACACACCCGACTGGGCCACTCTAATTTGTCATTTAGCAACTTATGCATGCATGATGCGATTGTTTTGCACAATCCGTAAAGCCATTGCGACCGGGGAGACCAGCATAATTCAGTTAGCAAATGCGTCTTATGTTGACCAGCTCCGGCGGGCCGGCCTTTTGGCTCCCCCGCATTGCAATTAGCAATGGGCCGAGCCGTGTTTCTGCCTCAATTGCGACGAGTTTTCTGTTTTCTGCCCGGTTTTCAGTTACTTTTTTTCACAATCGCTGCGCTGCTTCGTGGGCCGCCAACCGTTTGCTACATCTTTTTTGTTTTGGCTTATGTAAGTTGGCTGCGACTGCGACTACGACATGGACGTGTACTTGGACTCCGGTGGCAGCATTACGAATGCCAATTATATGTCTTTTTTCGGTGGGTTTTTATTTTGGGGGAAAAGCTGGTGTTGAAATCGTGAAGTACATTCAATGACCAGCCGCACGCCGGAAAAGTCAAATAAAAATTCAAATCGAAACGCTGGCCAAATAGTTCCAGAAACCCCAAAAACGGAAGCGCCAAATGCGGAAGACACAAGCGGCCAACGGCAGAGTAATAACAACAAACATACAACAAACTTACAACAATAAATGCAGCACAAACAACAACAATTGTAACAACAACCACAACAACAACAACAGCACTTGAGACGTGCTCATCATCTGGCGCTTCGTGTTTGCGCGCAAGTGAAAGACGTTTCGGGCTCACTTTTATTCGTATACGCTTATAGAGGGTATTTTAATTATTTCATGAAATTTCTAATAATAAGAACGATATTGTAGAGTAACATATATATAATTCCAGAACCGTAAAAGCTTGGAATTATTCATTTTAGTATACTATATAATACCATATAAGTAAACTCTTCCTCAAGTAATCTTCCCTAAGCTCACATAGGGCGAATGTGTTTCCACAAGGGTATTTAAGCTTCGGTGTGCCAAAGTTAGTCGTTCTTTCTTTATCTTTTCTGATTGTTACCTCTCTTTCTCTCTCTGTCTATCTCTCCTTGTCTCCCCTTCCGCTCTCTGTTTGTTTTGCTTTTAAATTTTATAATTTTCTTTTTAATGGGTTTTATAGGTTTTTATGCTGCGGTTTTCCAGTTGTTCAAATTGTTTGCCATGAATCATTTGCACTGTTTCTTGTGGTTTTCTTTTTATTGAGTTTGTTGGCCAGCAGATGGCTTGATACCAATATCGAATTTCATGGGGCCTTCGAGATAATTGCATAATCTCATGTATTCGTAGTGAGCTTTACCAAAAGCTTAAAAAAAAACAATTTGCATTTAGTTTAAACTTAACCAGGAAATAATTAAAATAAATTGTGCTATAAAAAATAAAACAATTTATATAAAAAGTTGTTTGATGAATGAAGCACACTTTGAAATTTGTTAACCCTACACATTATGACTATAGAGAATTATTACCTTGTTTACATTACTTGCAGCACAGTGTAATTAGAATGAAGCAAAATGTGGCACAGTTTCCTTCTATAACATTTCGGCTGCCAACTGGTTGAGCGAAGGCTAACCAAGTTGTAATTAAAAACAATTCAATAATTTATGTTTGTTGCAAAACTGTGCCACATGCCTAAGGTAATCAAAATTCCTGACCAATGCGCTTCAATTATGAATAATCAAAAGACCAAATCACCAATAAATTATGCTTAGGTCAAGCAGAGTTGAATTTAAGCTAAAGTAAATTCTCACTCAACAAGCAAGGTGCAGTCTACCCTGCCTATAAGCCCTGCTTCACTTTAATTAAAGTCAACCGCAAATAAACAGTCAGTACTTGACTTTGGCCGTCGGCTGCCTTCGGGGCTGCCATGACACGCACTTTTGCAATGCACATACGCCCCATTAGCCGGGCGCATGGCCAGAACAAGCAGGCAATGTTAAATACACGTTTGATGGCACCTTTGACAGTGGAATACCCCTAACAACAACAACAACAATATTAATTATAAAAATAACAATAACCAAATGGCACGCTTAATAATCTTGAGCAGCAATTATTGCGAAATGCTGCAGCGAAGGGTGTCAAGGTGCAGGCGCCCCGCATTATGAGCCACATACTACTAAATGTTAAATATGAGCTATGATATAAATGTATATATATATATTTATTTATGTGAGCTGTTTAGAGTGCAGTTGAACGGTAGCTTCAGCTAGTTAAGTGGCAGCAGTCAGCCGATTAATTAACTGGGCCAACAAAAACAAGACAGTTGACAACCGACTGACAGGGCAGCTACTGTCCAATGATGAGGCACACTTTTTCTCTCTCTTTCATTGTGGATGAGCTAAAACTATGCGTAACAAATTCGTACAAGCCGTCCCAAGCAGTAAGAGAAACAACAACAACGACAAAAACAACATGGTAAAAGAGACATTAGCTTTTGGCCAAGTGAACCATGGCACAGTGGTTCGAGCTGTGCGAACTGATATGGCTCACAAAATTCTTAAAAAATTATTCTGCCTTCTTTACTATTAATATATTAAAATATGCTCAAAAGCAAATAATATTTTTTAAAATGTTTTTCAATGTTAAGCTTTAATTCTTATTGGAATTATTGTTATGTATATATAAATATAAAAATGGAACAGCAAATTTATTTTATCTTTCTTAAATGTTTCCAACAGTTTTATTTTCCTGTTTCTCAAAAGATATGTAACAAACTGTGGATAGTGTGCTACAATTGAAGAGCTGCCTGCGTTTCAAGCACGGCGCAGACAAGAGGCTTTTCATTGTTGTCTAAACAAATAAGCAGTTTATAAATAGTTACAAGTAGTTGTTCATTGTTGTTCGCTGTGATATGTATTATTGTTGTTGCTGCGGCTGTCCGAGTAGGTGCTGTGGAGAGCATCAACCTTAAAGTTGTTCAATGGGCGAACGATTAATAAAAATCCATTTCAAAATGTTGTTTGCTGAATATGAAGCAAGGTCGCCAATGGAAAGGGCACAAAATATCGAGATTGTGCAATTCAATGCGTGCAAATTAAAAACGTCAACAGAAAGTGAAAAAACTGTCGAGAAATATTAAAAAAGGCCCACAACTAAAGCGGCGTTAGACAACGCGATGACTACGCGGAATCAGATGAAAGCCAAAAAGCATCGAGGCATGCCCAAAAACCAATAATCAATGCTCGTAAAGGTGCAAAGCAGCCAGGGCGAAAGTAAAAGTTTAACTTAAACACTGATTTCTTTTTAGTACAGTGCCCAAAAAAAAAGAGACCCCCAACAAACCGGCAAGATCCACAAAGCTGAGCAGCAGGCACAGCAGGTGCCAAAATGTTGAGACGATGCTCCGAAATTGTCGCTGTTTTTGCCGCGCACAGTTCAACAACATTTTTGTATAATTGACACTAAGTAAATATTTAACACACACGCAGACGCACACGCCTCAATTCGATGTGGGTCAATTGCTATTGTATAATATATTCGATAAGAAATTGCCGTATATTTGTGGAATTTTTGATGTTGTTCGAAAACTTTGCCTCTTTGGGTCAAGGCTCAGGCATTTGAATTAACATATAAACAAAATGCAATTTGCGGCACTTTTGCTGCTTCGGTTTGTTTTGGTTTTCATGCATGCACCGGCGGCTGCTGCTGCGACTGCAGCTGGTCATTGGACTCGGCGAAGCACACTCTCGTTTTCAAACTCCAATGGACGACGCTGTCGCGGCATAATGCCGGATGCCACGAGTATGTTTAAATTAGCAGGCACGCGCGAAACGCCCAAAGCCGACCACAACCGAACGGCAGCAATAACAAAAACAACGACAACGACAACAATGACGGCAACTATTTGTGCAACACTTGATCTTGGCTTTCACGGGCGGTAGGCGTGCGCACGTGCCACAATATAACGTTTTTTATAATAGCCGAATTTGGAGCTGGAGACATGCGCTTTGTTTGCGCGCTGGCGAGCAACTGATGCACGAGTTCGTGCCTTAAGTCTTTCGTTTTGGGTTTCAGTTTCGGTTTTCGTTTAGCCGAAAAGTTTGTGGAGCAGAGCGTAGCAAAAGCTCGCTCTGTTGCTGAAAAAGCTTTCCTATGGTTTAATTTTTGGTTATTGGAGCTGTTCTCAATTTTGAAAAAATTGAAAAAAAACTATCAATTGAATGGAACTCCGTAGAAATTGTGATGTCCAAGAAATATCTTACAGCTGATGATGTTAGTGGCTTGAGGCTTTTCTTGATTTTCATATAAGCTCAGTGCAAGAAAAATGAACATAAATTGTGACATTCATATCAGAAATATATTTATATATGTTACCTTTGGTGAGCGCCAGTTGTGATAGTATTTGAATAGAAATCGTAAAAGCTAATCATAATTAAATAAATCACAAATGTTTAACAACTAAAATAGAAAAGGTTCATCCAGTTGAGAGTATTGATCAGTTAGGAGCCACTTAAAGCTCCGCCACTTCAATGACCACATCGATGAGCGGTCCCTTGGCAAAGGGAGGTTCCGCATTAGTGCTCAGAAAATAGGAGCCGGAGGCGCTGCAAGCAAATGGAGTTAGGCAAAAAGAACGAAGATTCGAATGGGAGCATACTTCTCCGAGACAAAGTAGCCCATTTGTGTGTTGGGCATATCCGAGTAGAGGCCACAACGCTGGGTGAAGTAATGCATCCAGCCGCCGCACTGCTGCGCCCAGAAGCCGCGTTGACTGACAATGGACTCGCCGTAGTAGACAGCGGCGCGAAAGTGATTGCAGTTGTAGAAGCGCCATTCATTGATGTAGCTGCAGCCGTGCTGACGAAACTGGTCGAGATTCGGATAGAAATCGGCATGTCCCATGGCGGGCAGCATGGAGAAGAAGAATGGGTCTGTATGTATGACATCCACAAAGTCCGCATCGGTGCGATCGAGCCTGTCGTGTGGCCAGTTGTTCATGAAGCCGGGCCCGGCCGGATCCAGGCCCGTAATGCGTGATAGAGGCTCTCGCACATAATTGGCCGTCATGCCCGCTACCTGGGCGCCCAGACTGAAGCCAATCAGATGCAGCTGCTCGCGTCGATAGATGCCGGCGGCCAAGAGACTGTCAATAAACTGTGCAAGGCATTTTGAGACCACGGGCGCATTGCTCACCGCCCAGGGATAGTAGCAGGGCCAGCGCACCAGGCTGCCATAGTCCACCGAGATGACATGCACCGGCTGCGTTTGCAACAGCACATCGCGCACCTCCAGATTGGGCGTCTGGCTGCGATTGCCCACAAAGCCGTGTATGAGGATTTTCAGCGGCAAACGTGGCTCAAACAGTTCCGCGGCCGGATTCAGCGGATCCAGTTGAATGGGTTCATCTCTCGTGGCTCTGGGCATATACATAACATACGTAAGAGCAAAACTGGTGCACGTGCATCCGTAGCTACTCACTTGGTGTACAGCCAGAAGCTGATGCGCGTATTGGGGCAGGTCGGCTCGGCAAAGACGCACAGCTCCGGCAGAAATCGGTTCATCTCCAGCTGCGACGAGCTGTTCCTGACCAGCTGCAGCAGCAGCGCGAGAATTATGCCCACCCGAGATTTGCACATTGCGAGAGTCTGGAACGCTTTGCAGGCTGTCTCTAATGCTAATTCTATTAAATTCACTTAGCCCGACCTCGAGAGCTGCATGGGCAATGAGCTGCCCCCAGTTTGAGCTGTCGTTGATAAGGAGTCAAGGTTTCGGTTCTGGCTCAAGGTCACGCCCCAACACACTCTAGAGTCTGCACAGCTGCGGGTTAAACTTGGGCTTCGCACGCTGATAATAGAACTAAACTCATAAAACTAATCCGCGCAGCCGGCGAACTATATTCAACCATCCAACTTTGCAGAGTTTTCAATTAATATTAATTAGCAAATTAATTTGCTAAAACTCAACCGGTTTCCGAGTTGATTACAGCCTGGTCTCGACCTCTAAATTGTTTCTGCATTGAATTCAAATTCACCTGTAAATAATATATTCTTTCTTTTGCATTTCCGGAAAGCTACCTAAGCAAACTAGGGGGGAGGGCCATTTTTGTACTCCCACTGGATTTTCTTATTCTACTTTTTAGTGCTTTTCAACCTTTTTAACACTTTTCGGCAATCGACCAAATACTCCACCAAGCTCAGACGATTTGCATAATTAAAGATATTTAGGCTTACCTCTAAATGCATTCTCCGTCGAATTTTAACTCACGTGGAAATAAAATTTGAGATATCAGAGGGAAGATATTATATTGTCCCCTCATATGATTTTCTATTTCAAAATTATTTCTTTATATATCTTTATCTTTAAACATTTTCAAGGCCTTTAGCAAACCTATGTAAACCTCCTCCTACCTTTCTAGAAGAAAACAAAAAATAGAACCTTTAAGTTTTGAATCATATAAGTCGCCAACTCAAGGTACATTTCAAGGCGTTTAATTTGTCTGTCAAAAATCAATCAATGTATTAAAATTTTGAAATGTGAATTTAAGTTTATTAAAATTTTGGCATACATAACCCACAAGTGCCCTTCTACATGTTAAGCAGTCATAACTTGTTCGAAACGAAATCCATTTTCGGCATTTTATTTTGCATGGCTTGAAATTTTTTAATTGTATTCGGGTTTTAAAATTTGTATTAAATATTGATTGCAGGCATTTTTAAAGAATAGTTTGTCAAAAATTACCCAAAAATATATATTTCTCACCTCCTCAATGATTCCTGGATAAATTATTCAAAGAATTTTTTGAATTTGTTGTCTGAAAATTGTAAATATATAAGAATTAAAATGAACATTTTTATTATTAAAGCGATTAAAATTATAAAGCAAGGCTTCAATTTTGTTTTGAAAAATGTTTATTATATTTGAAACATTCAAAAGATTATAAACATAAAATTACGGCTTCATTTTGAATCGTTTAAATCAATAAAAAAAATGTAATAAACATTTTAAAGGTATTCAAACTATTTAATTGTAATTCAGATTGAATTTAATATATGAATAAATTAATTGGTAAATAAATAAATAATTAAGCATATGTAAAATATTATCACAAGCTGGCCTAAAAGAGAGGCTCATCTAGTGCCTCCTGCCAGATCAATTGTTTCTCGAGCTCATCAGTGTCCACATCGTTGTCCTCCAGCTCTGGTATGGGATCGCTTAGTTCCGGTTCGTAATCATGCTCGATCTCATTGTGCTTGGCACTCAATCGGAACTTGGCCACATATTTGCTATTGTCCGGCTCCTCTGGCTTGCCCATGGCATAGGGCGGAGCACTGCCTGCCTTCAGAAAGTAGTTGCCCGTCATGTTCTCCGAGACTTGGTAGCCCATCAGGGCTTGGGCGGCGCGTGTGGAGCACAGGCCAAAGAGATAGATTAGCCAGCTGGAGCACTGGCGACCCCAGAAACCCAATGTGGAATTGATGGACTCGGCATAGAAGCGTGGCGCACGCTCGTGATTGCAGCTGCCCGGATCGTTGGGATTCTCCTCTAGGCAGCCAGGCTGCAGCGGTCCGAAATTCGGATAGAAATCCACATGTCCCATGGGCCGCATCATGCCACGCCCCAGCGTATCCGTGTGTATGACATCAACGAACTCTGCATCACTCGCATCCAGGCGACGCGATTCGCTGCTCAGTATAAACAGTGGCTTGGCCGGATCCAGTCCCGTGATGCGTTTGGGCTTGCGCTTCAGATAGTTGGAGGTCTGTCCGGCCACCTGCCCGCCGAGACTAAAGCCAATGATATGGACCAGTTCGTGCTGCACAATGCCACGCTCCAGCAGATTGTTGATGAGCTGCGCCAGACACTTGCTGACCAGCGGCAGATTTCGCACCGCCTGCACATAGCAGGGATAACGCACCAGCGGAGCGTAGTCAATGGATATCACATAGACGTCCACGTTGTCCAGCAAGGCGGGACGTATGTGATTATTGGGTGCAAAATCCCGATGACCCGTATAGCCGTGAATCAGTATTTTGAGTGGACGGGGCGGCTGAAAGTCCCAGGGATTGAGATCGACGGGATTCAACTGGATGGGCGCATCGCGTGTCGCGCTGCATACAGAAGCAAATGATGCCATCAATCTTGGAGCAACTCGAATGAAAGACACCTACTTGGAGTACAGCCAGAAGGTGACATTCTGATTGGGACACTCACCGCTGCTGGCCACAAAGCAGGCAGGATCCACCAGTCCCAGCAGCGGGTTGGCACGGATAAAGCAGACGCCAGCTGGATATGGGATAAAGGATAAAGGACTCTTACGAACAGCCGGACTAAAGCAGTAGCTTACCCAGCAACGAGAGCAGCGTCGTCGTCGTCGTTGTGATTGTCGTCATCGTCGGTGGCTTTATTTGGACAAACTTTGTTGCGGAACTGTGCGTCGAGCAGCGAAAGTAACCGCTATTTAAACTGTCAACTGGCGCATAATCAAAAAGAGCGATCTGTGTGGCTTCGTAGAGATTGAGACGGTGGCATTAATATGTAAGCACCCACACATGCAAACACCTGCTGCAGCCAGCAGCTGCTCAATTCGCACATTTTTTTAATTGTGTGTGGTTGTTAATTGGGTCAACAAAGAATGAAATTTGTTTTCCAAATGTCTCTTCTGTGGCGTCATCTATGTTTCGGCTCAGTAGTTAAATGTGAGCGGTGAGCCGATTACTCTAGCTGTCAGCTTTTGTTTGGTGCAATGCGCTTGGCGACAAGCTGACTGATATGGACACAATACTTAGCGATAGCTGCGACGGTGACTTGTGATTTATTATCAAACATATGACCTGGTTTGGTAATTGAAGTTTTTCTTAGTTTCAGCTTACTTTTAAATATATTTGCTTTTCTAAATTAAGCTTGCTCTACCATGTTTTTCGCCTGCGAAGTCGCTGAGCTCCTAGCGATAGTTTCGTGCTATATGCGTTCAGTTACTCATCACTAGCTGCAGGTGCACATCTCTAATATAATTTCTTAGTAAACAACAACAGTTGGTTTCACCTACAAATTTGACCCGGCATCTGATTATCAAAATGATAAGTAAACTAAGATTTTCCATTCGCCACGTATAGAGCTGATATTGTGTTTCCCTTAAAAAAAAGAAGGTAAATATATAACTGAAGCTGAATATTATGTAATATCAAATGTTCCACAAATGTAAACAAAGCTCGATTTCGCACCACCAAAGGAAACACACAGGGAACCTATTATTGTCCCACTCTGAAGGAGTAAAGTATTTATTTATATGGATCTCAGCATCTAAGTCGATAACTAGGAAGCAATGGCTAAGAGACAGGCCTGGGAGCACATGCGCCATGTTTTTCAGGGCGCAGTGAACGCAGTGCATCCGGAAAGGATATTTGCCGACTATACCCTTCACGATTTTCGACCGAGAGAACAGGATCAGCGTGTCTACATCAAGCTGGATGGCAAACAACAGGATATAACTGGCAAAACCTGCCACATTGTGGGTTTCGGCAAGGCCGTGCTGGGCATGGCCAACAAGGTGCAGCTCGATCTGGGTCCATGCTCTGCCGGCGGTGTGCTGAGCGTGCCACATAACAGTTTGCAGCAGTACAAGCAGCCCGTCTGCCAGAATCTGACCATATATGAGGGTGCACCCAACAATTTGCCTGATGAGACGGCTCTGCAAGCGGCTCAGACGATCAAGAAGCTGGCCGAGAGCATGACGCCCAAGGATGTGCTCTTGGTATTTATCTCAGGCGGCGGCTCGGCGCTGTTGCCGTTGCCCAGGCCACCGCTTACCCTGCTGGACAAGCGCAACATTGCGGACAAGCTGATGAAGCATGGTGCCAGCATCCAGGAGCTGAACACAGTGCGCATAGCCTGCTCGGACATCAAAGGAGGTCGCTTGGCGCAGGCTGCTCAACATGCGGGCCTGTTAATCACCCTTGTGCTGAGCGATATTGTGGGGGATCCACTGGAGTTGATTGCTTCTGGGCCCACCATTCAGCCCAGCAGCGCAACGGGCCAGTCTGCGTCAGATATCTTAAAGCAGCACAAAGTCTGGGATGAACTTTCGCCGCAGCTACAGCAACTCTTCGAGCGGGACACTCCACAGCCGCAGCTAGGAGCACTTGATAGTAAAGTGTATGTGGTGGGCAGCAATAAGATAGCCACCACAGCAGCTGCACATGAAGCCGCCCAATTGGGCTACATACCCTGCGTGCTAAGCTGCTCAATACAGGGCGATGTGAGCAACGTTGCCGCGGATTATCAGCGTCTGCTACACGGCATTCAGGAGTACAAGCAGCGCACAATCAATCAACAGCAGCTGTGTGAAAGATTTGCATATGGCGAGCGACATTTGCAGGATTTTCTCAAGGCGCTGGAGCAGCATATATCAACAAATGCCCCGCTGTTTCTGATCTGCGGCGGCGAGCCGGTCATCAAGGTGAGTGTTCATAATAATCTGAAAGTATTTTTAATAGTGTTCAATGTTTTTAGGTCACCGGTCTGGGTCTGGGCGGACGCAGTCAACACTTGGCGCTGCTCATGTCGCAGATGCTGCACCGGGATGAGTTGCTGAGCGATTGTGCATTTTTCAGCGCTGGCACGGATGGCATCGATGGACCCACGAATGCAGCTGGCGCCATTGGCGACAGCTGTGTCATTGATGCCTACCTGGCCAACCATACGCTGGACGAGCTGGCCGAGATGCTGCGGAATTGTGATAGCTACAACTTCTATAGCCAATTGGCAGATGGTGGCTACCATGTGCTCACTGGGCATACGGGCACCAATGTCATGGACTTGCACTTCCTAGTAGTGCCGTAATACTAGTCTTGGGGCAGGGCAGCAAGAGGGCGGACTATATTTTTTTGTTAATGAAGTTGCTCTTGAAAGCCAAGCAGGGCATAGTTTCAATTTGTTTAATAAGTGTACAGACAGTTTTTACGATTTTCCTGTTTAATTTTTTCTTATACATTTTTACGACTCGTTTCATTAACATTTTTAATATGCATTTAATGACAAGTATTCTCTATTCTGTATCTATGCGAAGCTCTTTATGCTGCGCGCGCTCGCTTCTCAAGTGACAAACATAAAATCGCAATTGGCCTTTTCCTCTTCATGAAAATGAAATAAAAATTGTGTCTTATGAAATGAGCAATCAGCAAATATATATTTGGCTACCAGATGGATTGTGTTGATTTTTATGGTTGTTCTCATATATGTGTGATAAATCAAATGAACATATATATACTTCTCTCTCTCTCTATATATATATATAGATATATAGATATATACAATTATTATAAAGCATAAATATTTGCCTTTTTGTTTAGTTTCATTTTTTTCCTCATAAAAATGCGCTGCTAATAAATCATCTTAATTGTTTAAGACCCCAAAGGCAAACAGTAGCAGCAGTCGCAGCAGCAGCAACAACAACAATAGCCAGCGATAATTGCAATTAAAAATGTAAATTTATTTGTTTAGTTTTATTTTTAGCAACAACAATCAAATACTAAAAAAAAAAAAAAACTAACATCTAAAACCCGACGCGCGCCCAGTCGCATTTTACAATTTTACAACTGACACTTTGTTGAATTTTTTTTCTAAATGCGTTTGTTTTTTTTTTCTTTGCCTTACTTTCAATACCCTTACAGCGAGTAGTGTTAAATTGTAATTGACTATGTCCTATATGGGAAAACTCGACTTTCAGCTATTATTTGTTAAATATATTTTCCTATATTCCAAAATAGGAAATCACATTCCTATATACATATATTTTATATGATTCTCTTTTTAATATAATACTTGCGGGTATAACTCGGCCTTGTGCTACAAATTTTAGATATAACTTTTTCATCTGGAAACTCGTGTTACATTAAATGCCGCCCGTTCTATCTTGATTATTTTTGAATTATTAAAAAGATTAACTTTCTTCAGCAAACTTGTACGTTTATTGTGGATGATTCTGTAAAATTAAAGAAATTCATATTTGTAAATGTATTATATTTATAATATTAAATATGTTTATAAGTCAAATTGGATCCACACTTTCTTAAAATATTAAAGTAATATTTTTTTTATTTCTGATACATATATGTCTGCAAGAATATTTAAACTTCTGCCATACGCACCTAACTGTGCTCTCTTGTGATACGTTTTCTTTATAAAGAAACTTATTGTTTATAAAATTCATTTGGTAGCTGTCGCTGAAAACAGAACATCATTAATTCGATGACTAGTTAGGGTATTTAAGTTTCGTTCGTCACAACGACAGCTGTTCTTTCTTGTTGGTTTTTTTTCCTCTTGTTTTATGCACAATAGACAGTTTTGATGCTATTGTTGTTGCAGTTGTTGCAGTTGTTGCTGCTGCTATTGCTCTTTACAATAATTATTTTGCCGCGCATTTGGCACAATTATTAAATAATCACATTCGCCTGTAGTATCACAGTCTGTGCTATTTTTGCTTGATTAACTTTGTTATTAACTATATAAATGTCTATACAAAAATAAACAAGAACAGCAACAACAAATGGCAGCTGCGGTTGCCGCCAGGCGCTGACTAATGCAGTTCTTTTGAATAATATGACTTGATAAATCAGACTATCTAATTACAGTCCATTAAGGCAATATTGCATTCAAGGAAATATGTTAGCTTATATTTGTTATATATATCTTTTGGAATAACAAGCTCTGTTTTAGTGAATCGAAGAGTTATTATGAAGAATTATTATTGATATATAGTGCAAAAAGACTATTCAGTACTTTGACTTCAAAAATATTATTAAATTTGTTAAAAATTAAAAATTATTCTAATTAAAGAAATGGAAATAGAAATGTATGAGCTATGAAATATTTAGCGATAAAGCAATTTAAAATTTTAAATTTATATTGCAATTTCTTTTCCAATATTTAGGATATATTTTCTTTTTTAAACACTTAAAAGCCATGTTAATGAAACTCAAGATAATATTATCCTAATCAATATATTTAATTGCTTGCAACAATATTTTACTATAAAAGATTGGTTCTTCTGCATTAACAAGACTTGAACCTAGAATTGAACAATTTTGATATTTGATTATCTTTTATATTTTCGTGCTCACACTTTGCTTACAAGGAAACTCAACTTAAGATTACATTAAATAAATTAAAGAGAGCGTGAATTAAATTAAGCCCTGACAGGCTGCCCACTCCGCCTAGGGCTGGGCCCACGCACTGATCTATGAGCTGCGATTAGAAACATTTCCGTTTCCGTTTAATGTCTGCATGTGTGCTGCCGGTCAGCTTCTATATTTAACACCAAACGGTGGAGTGTGAGACGTGTGAGCAGGGGGGCGTGCTGTCAACCCCCCTAGCAGCAGCAGCAGCTGCTGAGGCAACTTTGACTTAAGCTTGGAGCAGCAGCAGCAGCAGCAGCAGCAGCAGCAGCAGCAGCTGTGGAATGTCGCGTCAATTTGTCTGCCTTGTTGGCTGCTGGCGTAGCAACAATCTCAGAGCGAGTTGAACATCTGCTGCGTATGATGAGCATCATCATCATGTTGCTGATGATGATCATATGTTGTAGTAGCTACTGTTGTTGTTGTTGTTGTTGTTGCTAAGGCCATTGAGTGCAAGTGTCGCGTTGATTTATTAATTAAGGATTGGAGAGCTGCGCGTGGCAACTGCGTGGCTAATGAAGTACTCGGACTTGGACTCGCATTCGCTGACAATTTTAATTAACGATCCGATCCGAACTAAGCCGATCAGTTGAGGTCTTTTGGAAAGCGTATACACACGCACGCACACACAGTTATCAAATAGACTTTTCTGAGTTGTTGACTTATGACATCACGCCCAGCTGTCCAGACAAGCTGACGACGCATTGCGCATACGCCGCGTGGCCCGGCCAACAGCAACCCAAGCGCATCCAGACAATTTGTAAATTGTGCTCCACTCCAATTTGTGACTGTGCTTAATTTGTCTAGACAATGGCAAAGTTCAACCGAGTGCCAAATGGCATCATATATTCGTATCTATGAGCACTCATTGCCTAAGCAAATGCAAACGCAAACGCGAACGCAAGTTCAATTAATGCTTTTGTCACATGGTTTTCTCTTGCCACCAGCCAACTACAATTTGCATACATTTGCTGCGTGGCTTGGCCATGATTCATGTTCCCAAGATTCAGTGGAATGTCTTAATTTGAAGCATCTGTCTCTGAGCGCGCGACTTGATTTCGGGGGTGGCAGCAGCTCTTGAGATCAACCCCAGCGAAGCGCATCAAAGCGAGTGCAGTGAACTGCTGCGCACGCTCATGCGAAATCGATTTGACATCAGGTCAAAAATGACAGTGAGATATGGGAAAGCTCTCGAGTGGAATTCACTGCCTAACATTAAGTAACATTTTCCAAGATTTAAATTGTTATCATGCGCATGTTAATATTATTTTGCTAAACATAATATAAAGTTTATTTTTCTTTAGTTGCTGTCACAGTTGACAACCACTTCTGCAGTTAGTTATTTCATATTTGACAAGCAGATAGTGTTCAGTGTTGCCACTGATAAATAAGAACTGCTTTCGAAACTTTTTAATACAATTGTTAATATTTCCAACCGGAAACTGCTGTAGGCGGGTTGACCCAGTTATGAACTTTATAGTCTACATATAGATCTCTGATTTATAAATAATATTATACTTAATTTAATTATATAAACTAATCGTATAAATTATAAAATTATTTGTATATATATTTTTTTTCCACTTCTAACCTAAAAAATTAAGCTTCTTAAGGGCTTTGCTTATCACAGTGTTCAGCCGAGCCCACATTCGGGCAAATAGGTTGAGCTAAAGCCATGCCCAAAATTGAAAACAATAACAAATAAATCATATGCATAATCATATCATAATCTAACGCCATTTGGCATCGCAGCAATTAACAATTTATGGCTTATTACTCAGGCCCAGTTGATGTGCCAGTGGCAGTGTTAATGTGGAGCTTGCCATTTATCAAATGCATCATCTTCTTCTTAATTCGAGCGGCTGCCGGCTTCATGGTCGCAGTCAGAAGGCAGCTTAATGTCAATCTGTTGCATTGAGCTGAGCTGCAACTGCTGCTGATGCTGATGCTGATGCTACCTCTTCGCTGGCTATTAATGCATTACAAATAGGTGCGCCAGACTACGACAACAACAACAACGACAACAACAAATAAGTGTGCCCTAGTCGGACGTGATCAAATAGGAGATACCCTTCTAAACATTTAATTCCTTCTAAACAGGATCTTGATTGACTTCGGTGCTTAACGCTCGACCTGCATACTTTCAGGTAAGTAATATGGCCTACATATGCGAGCATACCCTACCTACCCTACCTACTGTATATACTATTCGAGAACCTACATATTAAGTGTGCTATATCTAGTTCTTAGAACCTTCAAGTAATGCTTAAGTGAGCCATATCTTGACATCGATATTTATTGATTTTATCAAAAAAACTATGCCCCTAAATCAATCTTTACTGGCATTATGGATATGGAAGAATAAGTCGAACCAAATGATTAGTTGATCTACACATATATGGTTTAGGTATTGTTTTCAAATTTCAAGGCTCGTCTAGATCGGATCAGCTTGTCATCCTGATAAAGAACATGGCATTGAGGAAGCTTTCTTCTGTTGCACAAAAACGTGATACCCTATTTAGCTATTTCAAATAGGTGCAGGGTATAAAAAGCAACCACAACTGGTAACCTGGCCATAGACTCGCCGGTGCCGTTGACCAATGTGACTGAAGCTGTGGCAGATGCTGTGGCATAGCTGTGGCAGAGTCTCGGGCGGAGGCTAAGGCGCTTGGCGCTCTGTAGACGACCTCAAGTGTTGGCAACAATCGCGTTTGCCTGCTGCACGCTTGGCCGCAATACCCGCACTTAAGTGCAGCAGCAACAGGCTGCAACTGCAACATCAGCAGCAGCAGCAGCAACTGCGGCAGCAGAAGCAGTTCAAGTTTGCGTCGAGGAATTCCTTGCCGCTGAAATAATTAAGCATTGCAACATTGTTTATTGTTGTTGCTGTTGTTGTTGGGGTGTTGCAGGCTCGTTTAACAAGGCAGTCATCTTAACAAGTGCTTCGCCGAGCTGTTCTACAACTTTTTTGCGCTTGTCTGCATTTTGTTGCAATTTTTTTTTGCCTTCTTCTTCTTTTTTGTTGC